CGTTTCATTTAATTAAATTGTGTGAGAAGGCCGCGCCGCCGCGTGATTCAACAGAATTTTTCTTTATATAATTTAGTAATTAGCGAAAGCGATGACTTTGTAAAAACGAAGCGTTGTGATATACGAGCAAGTATTTACACAGTCAAAGTCGGTGGTCTTGGTTGGCTTGAGTTTGTATTAAGTGGGCGTGTTCAATCGAGTGTTCTATGCATTTTCGGTCAATGATGATAAAATAAATCCATTTAATTTAGTATTAAATAATAATCAAAGTACTGTACCTTAACTTATTGTACTATTTTATTACATTTGTATATTTTCTTGTAGAAATTTTGTTATTTTAGCGGCAGAAAACATTCACGAAATAATTTTATGCGAAGCTGTTGGATTAATAGTCCTTTTTCGGAAAATGTACGGATCTGCTCCGATGAAATAAATCCGACTATTGTGGGAATGGTTGCTTGTATGGTTGGTGTAGCTTTTCATACCATTCGCAGCTTTTCTTTTATATTCATTTATTTTTAAGACAAAGTTCAATGATATCATTAAACTACTGGTGCCAAATTAGCCTGAAAAGAGTTAGGTGAGTTAGATATCCAAAGTCTGGTAATTTTTTTATGTATGCTACATTTATATTCCATAAAATGTCTGTACTTTGAAATGCCATTATTTATAATTAGCGTGATGAGTTAAGTCGATTGAGCTATTGTAAGTCTGTCTGTTTATATGTATGAGTTATCAATCTGAACTAACCTTTTGACTGCTGGGTATATTTCATCGTACATAGACCCATGCTTAATTGTAACCTCTTACTACTAGAATATCATGCTTACATTATATTTCTTATTTTAAATGTACATTAAATTTTTTTTTATCCGTAAAAGTTAATAGTTTTTCTAACCGAGCTGTCAATTTCGATGATGGAAATGGAATATGTTGTCGTCAAAAATATTTTTTGTAGTCTCACAGGGACCTTTGACTTTTATAAGGTGTAAAAAAAGCACTCAATTATTGTTGCTTTAAGTTGAGGATTTTATTTAGCTTAGTTAGATTGATCTGATTTAGGAAAATAACGTTTTGTTCGATAACTTTCAATATGCCACACTCACTGAGACCCTCGTCTCTCGGACTGTAGATATTCACAAGCTTTACTTGAAGCGAATTTTTCACCAGAAACATAATTCCTTTCCTATTGACCAAAGCAGGACGATTCTGGGCGAAACACATATCAAAACCTTCTTGAAATGCAATTCTGGCTTGGCCACCGTTTGTACCGGCTCACAGCCATTCGCTTCACAAATGGGCCGATTTTTTTGCGATTCAGCAGCGATTCACAGATGGAAATTCGGTCCCTGAGATTTTGATGGGCTTACTCGTGTGGTACTCAAACTTCGAACTTTTTTTTGTATACAACCTTATTCAAATGGTTCCAAAGGTTTTTTGTGCAACGTTTGATTGCTGGGCAATTAAAGAAGGTGCCTACAGAGGCGGTCGGACGTGCTACATCTCCAGAATGTAGTGCATATTTGATATCAAAATTATCGGAACGGAATCGACGAGCCTAAAATCGCCTTTAATTGGCTGTAACAGTATCAGGAATAAATAATAGTGTTTATGATTTACATTTTCAGCCGGCTGGTTTGCGTTTTCACTTTTATCGAGGCAAAACTCTAAAATGTGGCGTATTTGCGCTTTGCTGGTGCTCATATTTGACACGTGTTGGAGCAATTTTGAGTCAAGCAATTAGAAAACTGTGTGGTGGCGGACTTAGAATTTTTTTCCCGGGATGTTTTTCCTTGCACCATATTTTTAATATTGATATTACTTCATAAATTCTTCTGAATTTGAATTAAAATCTCCGATTTTGGGGGAGTTTTGACCCCAAACACAACACCCCTCTCCCAGTGGATCCGCCACTGAAACTGTCTGAGAATACGATAAGAAGCTTGATTATAATCTCAAAAAACTGTTTACCGATTCAGTTCGATCGGATCATGATAATACCGATAGATACTCTCATACCGTAACATATGTGTTTTTAAATTTATCTACATAATACTCGAGTACATACTTATATAAACGGTACGCAAAATTTTGGTATTAATGGCAAGAGGGCTATAGTTCTAAGTTTGCAATTGTATGAAAATATTTGGTATTACATACATGCATATATATATTTCAATCTTAGTTGGTTCACGATTTTTTTTTAACTCATATATTATGACATACAACTTTTATCCTAAATAAGAACATATGCTTTAATATTTCAGTTTATTACAAAAAAATCTATATTTATATGACTATATGTATATTAGTGTGTAGCAGAAAAACTCAGCAACAAATACATACTTACATACAATATCCCTATATTTGTATATGAAGGTCTTCGGCGCACAGACCAATCAGCA